GATGGTGAACATTAGCTCATTCACTCTATGATACTTTAAAACGGGCTATTATACCTATCAATAACTGATTTGATTACCACCACTGCTCGACAGTGCCATCGACGATGGCAGAATGACCAGTGCATCATCAATCATCATGGAAGTACCTTCTGCACTGGAGATTACATACCTAAGTGCATAGCACACAATGCTACCTGCTGGAGGTCCACCCTAGAACCTAATGAAACATCACAGCTAAAACAACCAAAGTGTGAACAAAAATATCAAAAAGCCTCCAGTAATATCAAAAACCCACCAAAAAAAAACACGAAAAACCCACCAAAAACACCAAAAACCCACCAAAAACCCATGAAAAACCCTGGGTTTTTGCAAAAACCCAGGGTTTTCGGGTTTTTCACCAAAAACCCTGGGTTTTTAACAACCCTGTTGTAAGGTGATTAAAACTGCAGTATGGGTTGCAGATGTGGGTTTGACGTTAGCATTGTTGTTGTAACCCTACTTGCTCTAATAAAATGGCAACATGGGGTTATGTACACACTATTGCACAGCCTGGTATCAAGCTGGTTGATATGTGGAGGATAAAGAAAGCAATTAAAAACCTTTCTTAAGTGAATAGGAGTGTTGCGTCTTGTGACTTATGTCAAGTCATTTTAAATCAAGTGATTGTGTTTGTAACTTTAACTTCAATTATTATTGCGAGTTTTGACCTTTTTAATCATCAAGTTTTATGTGTACCAATTTCATATGCCTGTGTAATGTCTGTGCGGCTTTGTGCAGTGTGCGTGTCTTGAAACAAACCAATTTATTTTGTACCTCTTTGTACTTCAACAAATGTATGTCAAAGGATCATTGACACTACCACAGCTAACTTTGCCTGTATTCCTATCTTTCAGAGGCATTCAATTCAATCTGCTTTCCAGTGCAGTACCTAGAAGGCTGCAACTGAAACTCGCACAAAGGCAATCAAGGGTCACTTCATCAGCTTACAGCAACAGCCCATCTGTAATCAAGATATGGATGAAGTGGCATAGAAGAACAACCAGTTCAAACATGAAAAGATGTATTTTGTTTTGGACTAATTCTTAGCATAACAGAACAGCACACTTGCTGCTTTTTATGTTTGCCCTGTGTGCAGTTTTGAATAATTTTAACTATGAAATGTTTTTGCCAACTCTTCTCTTTACATAAGCTTCCTTTGTCATGTGTAATTTTGAGTTTACATGCATGATGTAGGCATATTTCCCTTGGCTTCATAAAACTATTTTGCAAGCTTTTGTTATGGACATTGGTGCTACCTATATTACCGTAAAGTGGGGCTATTTGAGACAGTGGGGCTATTTGAGACAGTATTTAAAATCGCTATAAAATGAAGAGCGTTCGATTTTTATGTGATATTTTTGCTCAGGAAGGTGTGGAATCGAGCAGTAAATCGCCTGAGCAAAAATTAAGCATAAATTTCAAACGGTTTTTATCTTATAACAATTTTAAATACCGCCTCAAATAGCCCCACTGTCTCAAATAGCCCCACCTTACGGTATATGATGCTTCAGATGTGTCCAGTAGTTGATGAAGGGAGAAGAGGGTAGGAAAGCTGATAGCTGTTACCAAAAATATGTGCTTGTCTGCACTTTGAGTTAAAAACACCTCATCTTTTGTTTCTTTCCTGTGTGGCCATTGTTTCCGTGGTTCTATAAACGTCAAGTTTGAAGTTGGTATCCAAGTGAGCAAAATGTGCATTATTTCAGTCCGTCTTGAATCATTCGTCTTGAATTATAATATCCCTAACTGACATCCTGTTATTTGTCCTGCAATGTCTGTGCCCCTGTCCGCCCTTACCTCCGGCTCCAGCCTCCAACCAGCCCTGCTGAGCTCTATCGCCAGCGCGGTGTGTCGCAACGTGCTGTTTCTCCACTCCAGCCGACAGCTGCTAGGAATCGTCCTGTGCCATGCGCCATGCGACACAGCAATTGTAAGCTGCAGGTCACATTCGGACTGATTGGCTCCGCATATGTGCATCCGGCCGAGTGCTAGTCGATATCAGGGACGTTGGTCGGACTGTTGTGGCGGCGTGCATTGTGCTGGTTGAAGTTGTTGTATTTCTGTTAGTGAAAAGCATTAATGTTTAATACATAACCACCGTTCCGTGCTTCTATCCTCAGGATACTGAAATCTTTCTCCTCCACGCCGCAACCCCCTTCCAGGCTGGACAGGCAACTTTATCTCATGCGGGCTGCTCCCTTGGAGCGGCACCGCTGCTCCCGAGGGAGCGCACCCCGTAGCCGGGTGCAGTGAGTGCCTTGGGGCTGGGTGGCCTGTCCTCTGGACGGGCTCAGCCCCGGCGACTCACTAGGGTGCCTGCCCAAGTGCCCAGACCAATGTCTCCCCCTATATCCTATCATCCTCCCGGCTCTGAAATGGTCTCATTGGACCGAAAGGGCCTAACCCAACAAAACAAAATACATAACCATGGTCGCAGCCCAATGTTATTGTGGATTTCAGAGGGAGTGGCCCAGTTAGGAGGGCCCCATGTAGGTATGAATCCAGTGTCCAGTGGGATTGGCTAAGATTTCCGGCGATTGATAAACGCTTCTATGATAGTAAACCTAGTCCTATTGAGTTATGAGGGGAGGTGACGTGAGGGACCTGACCTTACCAAATTCTTGTGGAAACACGACACATAGGAACGGTAAGAAACCGACAGTCATTCTTTCTGCCAAGTGTCATCTTTCTGTGAAGGATTTCTTGGCACTGAGTGTTCAGAAATTGCGTTGTTTTTGGACTGTGTAGAGGCTCACGAGCGACAACATAGGTCAACAACCTGACATACCTTAAATATGCGACTCGTACCAGAAGATCCAGCTTGATCAAAAGATTGGACATGTCAAATTTCAGCTCTTTAGCTCAAAAGATTTTTGAGCTGTCGTACCTAAAAACCGTCAGTGTGGCACCATATCGCCTCCCCCCGCGGTCGGAAGGTAAAAGTTCGCCGGCTCTAACTAAACAAATAGTCGTCGTATCGCAAATTCATTGACGGCGTTCGAAGCGCCGTTCAATTTACTTTCGAAACATATCCTAACATTAACCCGCGCGGGGCTGGGGTCTCCAGCCGAACGCGCGGGGCTGGGGGTGGGTAAATTTCACCCCCCCCCCCCTGTTATCTCCCGAACTAATGGTCCGATTTGGAAAATTCAAACGCCAATCGAAAGATCTCATCACGAACAACTAAAAACATGTACTTAATTAAAAGTTTGAGCCTTGAGGTCAAGGTCAAGGTCAGGTCAAGGGTACAAATTGCAAGTTTCTACAGTATCGGCCTTGCACCGTAGTTGCCGAAGAATGGACTGAGACTGATTGCCTAAAACGTGTTCTTAGGCTACCAAGACAATATTCGCTGCATACAATATCATTCAGAGGTCAAGGTCAAGGTCAGGTCAGGTCAGGTCAGGTCACCAAAAACAAAATATAGAAAAGGGCATGTGCGACACATGCTTTATGGGTCATTTTATTCATAGAATTCAATGGGCACACTCAATAGGTGATATGGACCACATCTGGATGAATTTTAGGTCGAGGTCAGGTCAAGGTCAGGTCAAGTGAGGTCAAATTTTGAAGTTGGTTGTTAAGGCCTAAAAAGGTGTCTATCTGATGCAGTTTTTCACGGCGAATCGAATGGTGCTATTTTTGTTTCCGTACGAGGTCTAGAACTTCCAAAAAATTCATTTTTCAAAATTTTTGTGTGTCGTGACGTCATGAAATTTTTAATAACTCCCACATTTTTGAACCGATTCTTCTAAAAATTGGTATGTAGGTGCACATAGACCACATCTCTGACATATACTCCGGTTTTTTCGATACACTCAAAATTTTTGATTTTATAATTATTTTCCCAAAAAAGTCAGGTTTTTGAAAAAAGTCTGGCTAAAATCCAAAATTTTCAAAAAACCGAGATAGCCATTTGATAGACAAAGTAGAATTACGTATAACCTTTTTTGTTACGTCTTGATTCCTTTAAAAATGAAGATGTTAGCGGCGTTTGAAATTTTGCCGTTTTTGAGGCGAAAATGGCGAACATGACGTCACTAAAACGTCAATTTCTCAAAAATTTTCCGACAGATTTCGCTCAAATTTTCAGGGAACGTGTCAAATTGATGTAAGAAAAGGTACTGAAAGTTTGGCGGCGCTGCGCGCCGCTGTTTTTGAGTTACTGCAAAAATTCGCGAGGGTGGGTAAAATTTACCCCCCCCCCCCAGCCCCGCGCGGGTTAACGTTTAACTGCCTAGCGCAATCTCCAACAAGTTTAAGTTCCGTGCATTCATCCTCATACAGTGTTAGCGGCCGCCGGCCGCCGGCCGCTGACCCACATTCGCGTCATCAGTGAATGCCGCAACTAATTTTTTTGTTTCCAACTTTTTTCCCGGAGCGTTCTACCTGGTTTATATAGCCTTGCTTTATACTGTTCATAAGGAATCGAAATCCGAGGAGTATTTTTTTTTGGGGGGACACTTTGGGGGGTATGCTCCCTACAGCGTCGAAAACGCCTTTCTGGATCCGCCTATGACATCATCTCGACTGGGATCTTGCCCCCCCCCCCCACGCCAAAATCGAATCCACCGCCACTGTTCGGTAGTATATTTACCTGTTGGTTCCACCGTGAGCAATGTGTCTAGGAAGGGAATTTGTTTTTGAGGGGAGTTGTCAGTCCTTTTTATGCTGAACTTTAGAGAAGGATGAAAACTATTTAAGAACTCGTAGTAGTTGTCCAAAGAAAGAGCCGCGTGTCCAAATGCCAAAAATATCATCTATATTCTATACATCTGAGGTATATCAAGGGACAAGGGTTGATGTGTAGCTGCTGCTAGCATAAGTGTTTCAACTGTATTCATAAAGAGAATGGCCAGAGGAGGAGCTTACCGACCCACCCATAGTTCTGGGAGCCAGCACCAGTAGACCACGGCTACTCGTACTCACCGGTGGATAAGGTCACAGAAAATGGTACTCACCGATCGAGAAGATAGTTTCCCTGTCGAGAAGCGCTGCCTCGCGTTTGTCGAATAGCAGCGAAGGCCGCGCTTTTTTATGAATGACAAGAGCAGTCTGGGGCGCCGTCAGCCGCGCCAGCTGCCGCCCAAGAGCCGTGGCCATCGTGACCACCAGCTGAAAATGGCCATCACAATACCATCAGTCACACGCCCGTCGCCCACGTCACCAGCTACTTGTACAAGTAGCTGGTGAATGAAGTGAATAATTACATAATTATTCACTTCATTACAAGTGATTGATATTTACAATATCAGGGTTTTTGCAAACTACGTAAAACGAAATTTCACGAAATTTCACCGGAAGCGGTACCGTAAGGTGGGGCTATTTAACATGAGTGTGGCTATTTGATACAGACTGCAGCGAGCCAGGAAAATCGGCATATAAATGAGAAGTATTTAATATTTGTCATTACGAGCGAGCGAGCGCAGCGAGCGAAGTGAGTCTTTTCAATATAACGGAAAAATCTCAGTATGAGCGGCCCGGCCCGGCCCGGCCCGGCCTGTAACGCTTTTGAGAGGCTTATATCTCAGCAACCGCTGGAACGATGGGCCTGCGGTCTTTTTTGCTGGGTAGCCCCATTCCTTCTATATCCAGGAAAATCGGCATATAAATGAGAAGTATTTAATATTTGTCATTACGAGCGAGCGAGCGCAGCGAGCGAAGTGAGTCTTTTCAATATAACGGAAAAATCTCAGCATGAGCGGCCCGGCCCGGCCCGGCCCGGCCTGTAACGCTTTTGAGAGGCTTATATCTCAGCAACCGCTGGAACGATGGGCCTGCGGTCTTTTTTGCTGGGTAGCCCCATTCCTTCTACCCCGTAATTGACTACTTTTGATACATCTCAGTGACAGTCGTGGCACGTGCCACGTGAAAAGTCAAGGGTGTTCAAGCTGTTTTGCAAAAGTAGCGATTTTGATAGGCACATATCTCAGCAGCCGCTTGGGCGATTGTCTTGCGGTAATTTTTGTAGGGTAGCTGCATCCCTTCTACCAAAGGTCGGATATTCTTGATCTATGTGAGGGACCCCCACTGCACGTGCAAAATGCAAAAAGAAGAGGTGCCAAATTTTGTTCCCATTTCAATAACTCGGTAATTACTGGGGCGATTTCGCTGAAACTTGGCATACAGGTAGGCACCCACCAGGCAATGCATTCCCATGTGTTGCGGTTAGGGTGCTACTGCACGTGCGCACGTGCAGGGGGCGCTCCCAGATCTCGAGAACGGCTGGGCCGATTGCGCTCAAATTTGGTACACGGTTGGGGACCAGTTAGTAGGGTGCCGTGCAAAAGTCAGTTTGGACCCCTTTTGCACGTGCGCACGTGCAGAATGCCGCTTCCAGATCTCGGGAACGGCTGGGCCGATTGCGTTCAAATTTGGCACACCGCTAGCGACCGTTTAGAACAGTGCTTTGCACAAGCCCGTTGGAAGTACCCTCTCGCCCTTGCGCACGTGCAGGGCTCACTATCTCGCTCGCTCGTTCTTCGCCCAAAAGGCGTTTTACTGGTTTTAATGCACGATGGTGTAAAATTGAACGGGAAATGCCGTGGATAATCTTCTTGAAATTTACAAAAAGCTTTGAACTCAATTCAGCTTAAAATAGATATGAGTTATGTACGAAGATGCAATGCCATAATCATTTCATAAATATGCAAGATATTGCAACAAATATTACTCGACGTTTCGCTTATTATAACTTTTTCCAGGGTAATAAAAGGACACGCATTTATCTGCGTGAACATGGGATCAACGCGGGCAATTCTTCGTAGTATCACTTCCTGTCTGCAAACAGGGCACAAATAAATAATTCACAAGTCATAACCTCTCCTGACTAAAGATGCAGCCACAGTAGCAAGCCTGAAAAAAAAATTGAAATATTCAAAGTTTCACCAGTAGCGATAAATGCCGCCTCTACAGTCTATAACTTTTCGCTGAACTTTGGAAAAATTCCTATAGACACTTGCCCATGTCCAGTTAGGCAGGTGTCCTTCTTCCTCTGCGTGAACAACAAAGGCGTTCGAAACTCTATGATTGCGCATGTCCCCCTTGTGCTCGCGAACCCTCGTTTTAAAACTCCTTCCCGTTTCCCTGTGGTACACGCGTGGGCACCCATCGCAAGGAATTTCATATACTACGCTATCTTCGTTTACTGACTCTCTTTTGTTTCGCTTGAAAATTCCGCCTATTTTCTGTCCTCCTTCTGCAACAATGGACAGAGGCGGACCCGCCAGCTTTTGTACCTGTTCAGTAAGAGGGGAATGAGGGGTTATCACCTTCTCGGCACATCTGCTGGGGTGGAAGTCATGTGGAGTGGCATTAAAAATGCATTAGAGACAAGCCTGAAGTCAAATGTACCACACCTCAAAAAAAAAAAAAAAATCAACAGAAAGACAGCACTATGGTGGAGCAAGCAGATAACCAAGTCAATTAAGCTCAAGCACAAAACATTCAAGAAATATTGTGAAACTGGATCAGATAAGGACTACAAGAGATATAGGTACCTCACAGAGGAGTAAGACAACCACCTTGATAAGACAGCTAAGGCATGAGTATGAAAGATCATTGCTGAGCAGCATCAAAGAAGAGTCCAAGAAATTACACAACTACATTCGCATGGAGCATACAACAAGACCTGTAATACAAGTAGGTACTAAGAAGTGGAAGAGGACTTACAGGGTGTCCCAGAATTACCCGAACATTTATTTTCTGGCTAAAAGTACGATTGCACTCGACTCTAATGATATAAAGGCATCATACTTTTATAAGATATCCCTTAGCTATCGAGCTTGGAGACTGTGTGCTTTTGGTGACCAGTCACGACTCGAGTCAGTTATTATCCAGAGTCAGGTAAGAGAAGTCCTTTTCCGTTTTCAGCTTAAGCCACTAATAGGAAACCATGGTGAATCAAGTGCAGTTTTCAATTTTGTAAACGGACTTTCGGCATGGTTCTTGCTGGAGAGCTCCAGCAGCTCATCTGCAAGCAGGTAGGAGTGAGCAAAGCGCAATTCAATTATATCATATATGATTTCAAGCTTTTACGACTAGTCATCTTAATTCAAGTTAGGTACGTTTTTCCGCTACTAGTCGTTTATTGTTTTCGTTTCAAATTTCCAGCCTTCGCATCGAGGTCGTTGTCAAGAAACATACAACAAAAAGAAACAACAAAAAGAAAGGTCGTTGTTAAGAAACATCATTGTTGTATGTTTCTTGACAACGACCTCGATGCGAAGGTCGAAAATTCGAAACGAAAACAATAAACGACTAGTAGCCGAAAAACGTACCTACCTGCAATTATATCAGCTGACGAAGCCAGAGAGAGCAAATAATAAGCTGATCGACAAGCCTGGGCTTGGCCGAAAAGGACCATGTACCAGTTGTCAAGCGGGTGGTTGCCTTGTCATGGACGGACAACAAACGTCACCAATCTAGCTAAAAACTAGTTAAACGATAGATCAGCTACGAAACATCAGTCTACTTTGCACCATCATCTTCGACTACATTTTGGAATTTGGGGTCTTTTGCCTGACAGAGGCGGATCCAGCTCAGAGGTTTTTTTTTTGGGGGGGGGGGCAAACCATAACAATTTATCGATTCTTTCCATGCATCGTCCATAGGCGTAATGTTAAAATTATGCCGTTTGGGGGGGGGGGGGCAAATGCCCATTTTGCCCCCCCCCCCCCGCCATTTGTTGCCTGAATAAAATGCCAAAATTACCGAGAAAGCAGGGCAAATCGCTACAATTTATCCAAAAAACATAACATAAACAACAAAAAGTATGTTGAAACACACTTTGTAGTCTAACAAAGGTATTCTGCTATTTGAATCGGCCGAAAAAGCGTGTGTGCACGTCAGATGGCTACAACGTCCCAACAACGAAGACGGCCAGGCACCCGTCGAAAATCAAAGTGCGAGACATTTTGAGCCACGGTGATATTCAGCATTCAGCTTGATACGATGCCGCAAAGACAACTGTTAACACAGAGTATTACTGCGGTAATATTCTAGCATTACAAAAACTGCATGCCGTGAACCAAATGGCCAAGTACGGGTTTGTTTTGGAGGCCAAATCTGTCGAAGGCCAAAGGTCGCGCGATGTTCAGGCATGGAGTTTCTCCACTTCAGATGTCAAAAACAACGCAACAGTGGTGTAGGCAGAAATTTTTGCTTTGAGGGAGAATGCCTTATGGAATGGGAGCACTTTGATGTCAATTTTATCTTAACCTTCAAGGCGGTGGGGGGCATTTCCCCCCCCCCCTTTTAGTTTTTTTTTTCGATATATCTCGAGAACCGCTGCGCCGATCGTCACCAAACTTTCAGTACCCTCCCGGGAGTAGCTAGCGCACATGGTGACCAAAAATTTTTCCAAAGGCTATGATAGGTTGGCCACTAATGACGTCAGAGTGACGTCAATTCTGCCATTTTCGACCCAAAAAAAGGTTTCGCGGGAAGAGCTGTCAGGCCTACAGCTTTAGAGATACAGAAAAAATGTTTCAGACATAAAAGATGTGGAATTAAGAGGGCTACAAAATTGTTGTTTCGGTTTTTCGAATTTTTTGGATTTTGACCCCCAAATCAAAAATAGATTTTTTGAATATAATAGCCGAAAAATCCAAAAAGTTTTTTGAATTTCGAAAAAACGGAATATATGTGATAGTCCCTACTGCCTTCTGTCTACATACCAAATTTGAGATCGACACCTCTTTTTTTGGCCAAGTTATAGCGAAAAAACTGTTCAAAATTGATGATGTCAAATTTTCAAACTCAATTTTTAGCAATTCTAGACCTCGTAGCGCAAAACAAAGACCATCATTAGACTCCCCGTGACAAGCTGCATCGAATCAATACCCATTTTATGCAAAAATATCAACTTTGAAATTTGACCTTTTTTACCTGACCTTGACCTGACCTCCACCAGAAAGTGACCTAAACCGTATCTGATGGTCTTATAACCAACACCAATGAGTTGGAAATGAAAAACTGGCCATAAAACATGCATCGCACAACCTTAGTAAAGTTGGGTTCATGTGGTGACCCTTGGTGACCTGACCTGTGACCTGACCTGGTATGACCAGTGACCTCTAATAGCAACATATGTAGGGGAGAGTGGGGCAAAGCGGCCACCCGGGGCAAAGCGGCCACCCATCGTTTTAGCCCTTCATAGCTGGCGTCAGTTCCAATTTATGGTTTCCAATTATACTTCTCTTCACGGTCGTTCGAATGAGCCAGACCGGGGTTTCAGGCCCATCACCATTGTTCTGTGAAACACGGAAAAGTATTTCTTGCCAGGTTACCAACTATGTTTACAATTTTTAAATGTTGTTATTTCATAACCGTTTGGAATTTTTATAAGCGTTCTTGTCCATGCAGTGGCGCAGCCAGAACTCTGGCGACGGGGGTGAGAGACGTTCGCGATGGGCCCCCCAGCAAAGTGGGCCCCCTCAACCTAATGGGGGCCCCTTACCAACAACGAAAGGACAGATCATTGTCCTGATAATAACCAGCCAAATCGGGGAAAAGGACAAATATCTCTTGATCTGAAGAGGCACGTAAAAACAACAGCATATTTACAGAAACACGACCATTCTGCCCATATTTGATGGACAGCGTGCAATTCATGGCCAGCGGCCACTCAAATGGTCGGGCTAGGTCAAAAAGCTTTTAAAAAAGCTCAACATCAGTTTTTCGACTATTACTTTTGGTATAGGAGACGAGGTGGAGTAATGAAATTGTCTTGAAGGTGTTAATCATTCATTCGGATCAGTTGATGACCATCATGAACTTCTCAAGTAGGTAAGGGCATGACCTTGATCTGCGGTCACATTTTGAAGTTGAACTTTTTAATGGAAATTATAGGTGTTAACATTCGATGCATGTTAACGAGAGAATGATGACAAAGTAAATGTCTCATAATTTTTCTCACCAAAGTTCTTGGAAAAATTCTTAGCAATTAGCAAAACTATTTTGGTAAAATGCGACTATTTAGATGGTTTCGCCCTGTGCTCTGTTGCCAAACTTGACATGAGGCATTGAGGTCAAATCTTAAAAGCGAAAGCGTTTTGAAAGGCCTATCGAATGAGTTGTTCCGCGAAGCTCTAGCTCTTTGGTTCACGAGTTATACGGTAACGGTTATTTGTGAAAATCTAAAAACAAGAATTTTTTCGTCGTAATCTTGTCTTTGTGTTTATCATAATTTTATCATAATTTCATCTTCAATGACCTCAGCGATGACCTAATCGAAAAATGACCTCTACGATTCTGAAGCATCCTACAGCGATCTGTTGCTTTTCTCGTCTTTCTAGCCTTCTTGAATTATGATCGGGTTTGGCTGATACGCCCCCCCCCCCCCCCCCCCATGGCTGATTGCACGCGTTAGAGAGCTATCGAACCCACTTTCAGCGCGCTATAGCTTTATATGTCCTCGAGTGTCGAAATAGGCGAAACTTTTCATTCAATGAACATGATGACGTGGGCTTTGGTCTGAACTGCAACATGACTGAAGTAATTTCTCCATGATTTTCGACGCTCTTTAGAAAGCTGCCTACCACCGCACTTGTCGCTACGTGACCCTGGAGTCGGGTTAGAAGGGAATATTCAAACACCCCTCAGGGGCGTAAAACTGGAAAGCCTGGGGCCCTGCTCTGCGGGGCGCGGTCGAGCTAGGCTAGAGCCAGTTCGGGATGTTTACAAGCCCACGTAAAGCCCTCAAAAATCTGCATAGAGCACAGGCCTTCCAAGACTTGGGGGTTTATATATCAACAATCGACATGGTCTTTTGAGACCTGCGTGGTGGCTATCAGAGGTCGGTGGGCCCCTCAAAAGCCGGTGCAGGAGCCTCGGGTGTCAGTTTGGAGCCATCATGGACCGGTGTGAAGTCCTGATGAATACCTAGGCGTCAAACCCCTAGACATCAGGGTGGGGCCGGGCGGTGAGGCAGGCACAGACCTGAAGAGAAGAGAAATTTTCAGATGTCGGCTTGGCATCTTAACACCGCGTGGTTCTCCTGCTCAGTGACCCGAACTGACCCCTCCCCAGACACCCACCGTGTGGTGGGGCCCTGCATGGCTTTCTCAGAGGCTGACATATCGTACTGCGGGACCTCCATGAGCCTCAAAAACCTCCATGGGCCCCCTCACGCTTGGGGTAGGCTTCCTGAAGCATAAAATCTCTGAGTCTTGAGATGGGCCCATTAGACATGAACTGGGCCATCAATATACATGTGGTGAGTTGACCTATATCAAACATGATATCGGCTCAATCAGGATTGGGATAGGCCCTCTCAGACCCGGACCAGGCACGGAGTACGGACCCTCCCACACATAGGATGATCCTTTCATTCCTGGGATGATTCTTCTCAGGCCTGAAATGGGCCCCTCTCAGGCCTGAAGTGGACCCTCTCAGGCCTCAAATAGGTCCTCTAGGGCCTGAAATGGGCCCTCTCAGGCCTGACATTAGCCCTCTCAGACCTGAAATGGGCCCTCAGACCTGAAATGGGCCCCCTCAGCCCGTAAATGGTCCCTATCATGTCGAAAAAGGGCCCCCTGGCCCCTCATACCGTAACTGGGCCCTCTCAGGTCTGAAATGGTGCCTCTTATGCCTGAAATGGGCCCTCTCTGGCCTCAAACGGGCCCTCTCTGGCCTAAAACGGGCCCTCTCTGGCCTCAAACAGGCCCTCTAGGGCATGAAATGAGCCCTCTCAAGCTTGAAAT